TCTGTACTCTCTGTGCTCTCTCTGTACTCTCTCTGTACTCTCTCTCTGCTCTCTCTGTACTCTCTCTGTACTCTCTCTGTACTCTCTCTGTACTCTCTCTGTACTCTGTCTGTACTCTCTCTGTACTCTGTACTCTCTCTGTACTCTCTCTGTACTCTCTCTGCTCTGTCTGTTCTCTCTCTGTACTCTCTCTGTACTCTCTCTGTACTCTCTGTGATCTCTCTGTACTCTCTCTGTACTCTCTCTGTACTCTCAGTACTCTCTCTGTACTCTCTGTGCTCTCTCTGTACTCTCTCTGTACTCTCTCTGTACTCTCTGTGCTCTCTCTGTACTCTCTCTGTACTCTCTCTGTACTCTCTGTGCTCTCTCTGTACTCTCTCTGTACTCTCTCTGTACTCTCTGTGCTCTCTCTGTACTCTCTTTGTACTCTCTCTCTGCTCTCTCTGTACTCTCTCTGTACTCTCTCTGTACTCTCTCTGTACTCTCTCTGTGCTCTCTCTGTACTCTCTCTGTACTCTGTCTGTACTCTCTCTGTACTCTGTACTCTCTCTGTACTCTCTCTGTACTCTCTCTCTGCTCTGTCTGTTCTCTCTCTGTACTCTCTCTGTACTCTCTCTGTACTCTCTCTCTGCTCTGTCTGTTCTCTCTCTGTACTCTCTCTGTAGTCTATCTCTGTACTCTCTCTGTACTCTCTCTGTACTCTCACTGTACTCTCTCTGTACTCTGTACTCTCCCTGTACTCTCTCTGTACTCTCTGTGCTCTCTCTGTACTCTCTCTGTACTCTCTCTGTACTCTCTCTGTACTCTCTCTCTGCTCTGTCTTTTCTCTCTCTGTACTCTCTCTGTACTCTCTCTGTACTCTCTCTACTCTCTCTGTACTCTCTGTACTCTCTCTGTGCTCTCTCTGTGCTCTCTCTGTACTCTCTCTGTATTCTCTGTACTCTCTCTCTGTACTCTCTCTGTGCTCTCTCTGTGCTCTCTCTCTGTTCTCTCTCTGTGCTCTCTCTGTACTCTCTCTGTGCTCTCTCTGTACTCTCTCTTTGCTCTCTCTGTACTCTCTCTGTACTCTGACTCTATCTGTGCTCTCTCTGTACTCTCTCTGTACTCTCTCTATACTCTCTCTGTACTCTCTCTGTACTCTCTCTCTTTTTAAATGTACTCTCTCTGTACTCTCTCTGTACTCTCTGTGCTCTCTCTGTACTCTCTCTGTACTCTCTCTGTACTCTCTCTGTACTCTCTCTCTGCTCTGTCTGTTCTCTCTCTGTACTCTCTCTGTACTCTCTCTGTACTCTCTCTGTGCTCTCTGTACTCTCTGTACTCTCTCTGTACTCTCTCTGTACTCTCTCTGTACTCTCTGTACTCTCTCTCTGTACTCTCTCTGTACTCTCTCTGTACTATCTCTCTGTACTCTCTCTGTACTCTCTGTACTCTCTCTGTACTCTCTCTGTACTCTCTCTGTACTCTCTCTCTGTGCTCTCTCTGTGCTCTCTCTGTACTCCCTCTGTGTTCTCTGTACTCTCTCTGCACTCTCTCTGTACTCTCTCTGTGCTCTCTCTTTACTCTCTCTCTGTACTCTCTCTGTACTCTCTCTGTGCTCTCTCTCTGTACTCTCTCTGTGCTCTCTCTGCGTGCTCTCTGGCTTCCTCTATCGGCCCCTTTCCACACTTCAGCAATTGCGCCGGGCGCTCTTTCACTGATCTCGCCCCCTAACAACCCCCCCCCCCCCCGCTACCCCCACGTCCACGCTCGCGTGACGACGGAACACAACGCCATCTCATCCTCATCATCATCGTCCTCCTCCTCATCTTCATCGTCCTCCTCCTCATCCTCATAATCCTCCTCATCATCCTCCTCATCTTCATCGTCCTCCTCCTCATCCTCATCATCCTCCTCATCCTCATCATCATCGTCCTCATCCTCATCGTCCTCCTCCTCATCATCCTCATCATCATCGTCCTCATCCTCATCGTCCTCCTCCTCATCCTCATCGTCCTCCTCCTCATCCTCATCATCATCATCGTCCTCCTCCTCATCCTCATTATCATCATCATCATCATCCTCCTCCTCATCATCATCCTCATCATCATCGTCCTCCTCATCCTCATCATCCTCCTCCTCATCCTCCTCCTCATCCTCCTTCCTCATCCTCCTCATCATCCTCCTCCTCCTCATCCTCATCATCGTCCTCGCAATAACGGCGGAGTGTCGCTATGGGTGAAGGGAGACGTTGCGGGTTGCCGGCCGCGAGGCTGCTGCTGATGACCGCGATTATTGATGGTGGCGGTGGATCTGGATGATTTATTAACATATATATACTAACAAACGAATTGCTCAACGCAAGCCCAAATCACGTGTCAAGCGGCGAGCAACAAACAGCACTGTCGCGGCCGTCATCGCCAAGGAGGGCAGACACGTGTCTTGACTTGAGCGCGGATATGACTGTGAGGGTTCCGCCAAATAACCGGTGACGTGGCAGATTGATCGCGGCGATGAATGCGATGACGACTGTTGTTGTTGTTGTTGATGATGAGTGGCGAGGATGGAGGGGGGTGTGGTTGGTATTGATAGGAGAACGAGAGAATAGCGCGGGTGTCCTCGCTGAGTCTCGAGCCGCGTGTTCAGGAGGGAGTCAAGCAGCAGATCAACGATGCAGGTCTGGGGGCGGTGACGGGGTTTCGAGCGAGAGCGCCGCGGTTCGAATTTTTCCAGCGCCCGCCCCGGTTAATGCAGCTGCGCGTCCATTCACCCCGACCGGACTCTCCTCCCGACAGTGCAAGCGAGGCGACTCGCAGAGCCACGCTCCAGCAGCGTCAGACCGCTGCTTCCCCCTGCGCGCTGGGGGAAGCAGCGAGTCGCCAGCCTCGTCAGAGATTCGAGAAGAGAGGTCGCGAAGGAAGAGAGATCGCCGCTCGAAGAAGCGCTGGGAAGAGGAGGAGCCGCCGCGCCGGTGGAGGGAGAGAGAGAGAGAGAGGGCTCGGGCAGAGCGGGGCGATCAAAGCGCCTTCCCTCGCTGTCTACTGCGACGCGAACACTCACTCGCTCGCCAACCCGTCCACTCACTCACCAACCACTCCACTCACCAACCACTCCACTCACTCACCAACCCGTCCACTTGCTCACCAACCCGTCCACTCGCTCACCAACCACTCCACTCGCTCACCAACTCGTCCACTCACTCGCCAACCCGTCCACTCGCTCGCCAACCACTCCACTCGCTCGCCAACCCGTCCACTCGCTCACCAATCACTCCACTCACTCGCCAACTCGTCCACTCGCTCACCAACTCGTCCACTCGCTCACCAACCACTCCACTCGCTCACCAACCCGTCCACTCGCTCACCAACCCGTCCACTCGCTCACCAACCCGTCCACTCGCTCACCAACCACTCCACTCGCTCACCAACTCGTCCACTCACTCGCCAACCCGTCCACTCGCTCGCCAACCACTCCACTCGCTCGCCAACCCGTCCACTCACTCACCAATCACTCCACTCACTCGCCAACTCGTCCACTCGCTCACCAACCCGTCCACTCGCTCACCAACCCGTCCACTCGCTCACCAACTCGTCCACTCACTCGCCAACCCGTCCACTCACTCACCAACCACTCCACTCACTCACCAACCCGTCCACTCGCTCACCAACCACTCCACTCGTTCACCAACCCGTCCACTCGCTCACCAACCACTCCACTCGCTCACCAACTCGTCCACTCACTCGCCAACCCGTCCACTCATTCACCAACCCGTCCACTCGCTCACCAACCACTCCACTCGCTCGCCAACCCGTCCACTCGCTCACCAACTCGTCCACTCGCTCGCCAACCACTCCACTCACTCACCAACCCGTCCACTCACTCACCAACCACTCCACTCGCTCGCTAATTCGCCAGCTCGCCAGCTCGATCACTCATCAAGCCTCCCACTCGCCCATCGACCCACTCACCCACCATCTCACTCACCAAAAGCACTCACTCGCGCACTCACCCAACCGGCTCACTCACGCGCGCCGTGCACGAGGCAGGATGAAGCTCAAGTCGCTGCTCCCCCATCTCCCCCCCCCGTTGGACCACATCGGGGGATCCCGATGGAAGGGATGAATGGGGTGGGGGGTCTGGCGTATCGTGATCCCGGAAAATACACCACAACCACCACCACAACCACCACCACAACAATCACCACAACCACCACCACAACCACCACAACAATCACCACCACCACAACCACCACCACAACAACCACCAGCGACATCAGTGCCGGGTTTCCCCTCTGCTCACTCGTTCTCGGGACGCGAGCGCTGGTATCGCGGGCGGGATGGGTGGGTGAGCGAGCGAGTGCATTGGTGAGAGAGAGAGAGAGTCGGGTGAGTGGAGGGGCGAAGGAGTGAGTGAGCGCGTGGATGGGTTTCTCGGTGCATATAGGTCGGTGAGTGAGTAGATGGGTGAGTGGAAGTGAGTTGGTGAGCGAATCGGTGAGCGAGCGAGCGGTGGGATGGGAGGATGCAGCGAGCTGGCGTACAGGTGAGTGTGCGAGTGAAGTGGTTGGTGAGCGATTATAGAGGTTGCTGAGTGAGTGGATAGGTGAGAGAAAGTGAGTGGATTGCTTGGGAAAGGAGCGAGGCGGTGAGCAGTACAGTAAATGAGTTGGTGAGTGAGCAGGTAAGTAGGTGAGAGAGTGGGTCAGTAGGCGAGGCAGTAGGTGAGTGAGCGGGCCAGTAAGTGGGTCAGTAGGTGATTGGGTCAGTAGGTGAGTGAGTGGGTCAGTAGGTGAGTGAGTGGGTCAGTAAGTGGGTCAGTAGGTGAGTGGGTCAGTAGGTGAGTGAGTGGGTCAGTAGGTGAGTGAGTGGGTCAGTAGGTGAGTGAGTGGGTCAGTAGGTGAGTGAGTGGGTCAGTAGGCGGGTCAGAAGGGTGAGTGAATCATTAGGCGAGTGAGTGAGTGGGTGAATGGGTAAACAGGTGAGTGAGTGGGTGGGTGAGTGAGTGGGCGAGCGTGATTCTCGTACCGGCTGGAGTGCAGAAGACGCCCGCGAGAAGGCAGAGGACCGCGGCCGTGGACAGGAGACAGCCCCCGCTCCGGACCGGCCCGCGTCCCGCTCCAGTTCCCGAGCCAGGGACCCGCCCGTGAGCACAGCCCAGCCGCCGCATGGCTCAGGAGCCGCGTGCTGACGTCGCAGAGACGGCCGAGGAGATCCGCTCGTCAGAACCTTCAAAGTTCGACTCCGGCTTGGAGTCTATACACGAGAGGGATCGGATGCGACCGTCCGGGGTCGGGTCGCGATGTCGATGCTGTCTGTCTCTGTCTCTCAGTCTCTGCGTCTCCCTGTGTCCCCTCGCTCGCTCTCTCTCTCCGCAAGCCTGCTCCGTGCTCGGAGCGTCGTCCTTCAGCGATTAGCGGATTCCTTCCATCCGCGTTCACCCCTCCCTCCCTCCCTCCTTCTCCTCCTTCCCCTCTTCCTCTGATTAATCAATCAGTCACACCGATCCCTCCGCTATCTGTGTCCCTCGCTATTGTGCCGCGGACAATGGCCAGCAAAAGGAAGGATGGTTTTGACGAGACGAGCGAAGAGGGGGTGGTGGTGGGGGTGGTGGTGGTGGGGAGAGAAAAGCGAGCCGCCACCACCACGGAAACGAAAGATCGACCGGCGGAGTCGAGATGATGATTTCGAATTTAAATCAGCAACGCAAAGAAAGCCCCCACCCAGACAGACGCCAGCAACACGCCACGCGCAAGCAACTACTCGGCTCGGACGAGGCAGCGAGCGAACGTCGGATGGTGCGAGAAGAGCTGGCAAGTGAGGCTCCCCCCGCTCTGTCCTCTCTCTCTCTCTCTCGCTTCTCCGCCCCCCTTCTCCACCTCTCCCCCTCCTCTCCCTCTCTCTCCTCTCCCTCCCCCTTCTCCTCCTCTCGCTCCCCCACCACCTCAGCTCCCTCCCTCTCTCAGCTCCCTCCCTCCCTCTCCCTCCCTCCCTCTCTCTCCCGCACGGGAACGCACGGAGCAGAGCGCGCGCAGAGACAGAATCGACGGCGCGGAGGATGTGGTGGAGTTGTAGGGGGGGGGGGGGTGACTGGAGGTGATGGGGGAGAGGGGGGTGATGTGGGATGTGGGCAGAAGAGAGGGAGGAGAGAGGGAGAGCGATGCTTCACTGTGCGAGCTCCGGGGCCGAGGGAGAGACGGAGAGGGGGGGGGGGGCTAGGGAGCTGCGTCTCTCGCGTTTCGCTTGACGCGGAGCAGCAGCGACGGCTGCGTTCAATTCCACCCCCCCCCTCGCCCCCCTTCTCTCTCATTCTCTCGGTGTCTCTCCCGTGACCCCGTCCGCTCTTCCCTTTGCTCCCCGTGTCCTTCTGCGCGCTACGCAATCTCTTCCCCCTCTCCCTCCCTCCTACGTGCGTCTGGTGCCTGGTGTGTGGCTGGTGCTTGGTTAATGTGGTTGGTGTGGCTGGTGTATGGTTGGTGTGGTTGGCGTGTGGTTGTTGTGGTTGGTGTGGCTGGTGCTTGGTTAATGTGGTTGGTGTGGCTGGTGTGTGGTTGGTGTGGTCGGTGTGTGGTTGTTGTGGCTGGTGTGTGGTTGGTGTGGTTGGTGTGTGGTTGTTGTGGTTGGTGTGGTTGGTGTGTGGTTGTTGTGGTTGGTGTATGGTTGTTGTGGCTGGTGTGTGGTTGTTGTGGCTGGTGTGTGGTTGTTGTGGCTGGTGTGTGGTTGTTGTGGTTGGTGTGGTTGGTGTGTGGTTGTTGTGGTTGGTGTATGGTTGTTGTGGCTGGTGTGTGGTTGGTGTGGTTGGTGTGTGGTTGTTGTGGTTGGTGTGGTTGGTGTGTGGTTGTTGTGGTTGGTGTATGGTTGTTGTGGCTGGTGTGTGGTTGTTGTGGCTGGTGTGTGGTTGTTGTGGCTGGTGTGTGGTTGTTGTGGTTGGTGTGGCTGGTGTGTGGTTATTGTGGCTGGTGTGTGGTTGGTGTGGCTGGTGTGTGGTTATTGTGGTTGTTGCGGTTGGTGGTTGTTGTGGCTGGTGTGTGGTTGGTGTGGTTAGTGTGTGGTTATTGTGGTTGGTGTGGTTGGTGTGTGGTTATTGTGGTTGGTGTAGTGGTTGGGGTGGTTGGTGTGTGGTTGTTGTGGTTGGGGTGGTTGGTGTGTGGTTATTGTGGTTGGTGTAGTGGTTGGGGTGGTTGGTGTGTGGTTGTTGTGGCTGGTGTGTGGTTGGGGTGGTTGGTGTGTGGTTATTGTGGTTGGTGTAGTGGTTGGGGTGGTTGGTGTGTGGTTGTTGTGGCTGGTGTGTGGTTGGGGTGGTTGGTGTGTGGTTATTGTGGTTGGTGTGGTTGGTGTGGTTGGTGTGTGGTTATTGTGGTTGGTGTAGTTGGTGTGTGGTTGGTGTGGTTGGTGTAGTGGTTGGGGTGGTTGGTGTGTAGTTAATGTGGCAATGCGTGGTTGACGTGTGCTTCATGATTGGTGTGATGTGGTTCATGTCCTTGACAGACACCAATCACCAACATCATCATCATCACCGATACCACCACAGCCATCACCAATACCTCCATCACAGCCACCACCGGCACCACCACAACCCATCGGCCCCATTCAAAACGTGAAATTCGCGCTGGCGCGCACGGACACATCCCTCGGAGGCCGCGGTGACGTCATTGAAGTTCTTTATTGGCATCTGAAAAGTCCCCCCCACAACGCCCCCCCCCTCAACGCCCTACCCCCTCCTCAACGCCCCCCCTTCAACCCCCCTCCCCCCACGTCCCTCCCCCCCCCCCCACCCCCGATGGCCACCAAATACTCAATTTATTCCCACCAAGTTACCCCAATCTTTCTTCATATTTTTGCTCAACTGTTCCCAACTTTCAACCTTAAATTAGACGGACGGGGAGCGAGTTTAGAAAGAAACCTATTTATTTATTTAGCTACCCGTCTATTTATTTATTTATTTAGCTACCGGTCTACTTTTTTATTTTGGAAAGAAGACGAAAAGAAACCCCCTTCACATTTGCACGGTCACAATTTAGCAGTCAAGGTTATTTTGACCTTGGTTAAAGGTCACGCATTAGCGCAAGTCCCTCGTTCTAAACAGTCATGAGCCAAACCTCCATCATCATCATCACCATCGGCCAGAATCTATCCACTGCTGGATCAAGGCCTCATTCTCACGGTACTGCGATGCAACAAATCTTTACTGTGCCCTCACTCCATCTCCGCGTTGCGCGTCCTCCCTCGACGACTCGACTCGAGCGAGTCCTTGTGGCTGGCAGACTCGCGCACGTGCGGACAAGCGGGTGTTCGTCTGACGGAGTGTGAAGGTGCACACAAGACAGCATCAGCTCGCAAGGGTGTGGCTGTCTCTCACACGCGGCGCCTCCTATTAGCACGGTTTGCTGCGTACGGTGCGAAAGAAGTTCAACGTACATGCGTACTGCTCATAGACTAACACCCATAGGCTCAACACTGCCCATAGACTCGACACTACACCTCCGATTAGCACGGTTAGCTACGTATGGTTGCGAAAGAAGTTCAACATACATAAACGTAACTATTTTTATTTTACCAGGTAAGGCCCCACTGAGCTATATGCAGCTCGTTTTCAGAAGCGACCTGGCCATCACAAATGATTGCTCAACGAAGTGGCTTATCACGTCTGAAATTTATAGCAGCCAAATACCCTAAACGCGACCACTGGGAGAGAGAGACGCAAACTCCAAATATGCAGCAGGCGTCAGGGTCGGGATTGAGCTCACGACCTCCTGTGTAAAACCAGGCGAGGTGGTTCACATCTCGGGATTGAGCTCACGACCTCCTGTGTACCAGGCGAGGTGGTTCACATCTCGGGATTGAGCTCACGACCTCCTGTAGACCAGGCGAGGTGGTTCACATCTCGGGATTGAGCTCACGACCTCCTGTAGACCAGGCGAGGTGGTTCACTTCTTGGGATTGAGCTCACGACCTCCTGTGTACCAGGCGAGGTGGTTTACATCTCGGGATTGAGCTCACGACCTCCTGTAGACCAGGCGAGGTGGTTCACATCTCGGGATTGAGCTCACGACCTCCTGTAGACCAGGCGAGGTGGTTCACATCTCGGGATTGAGCTCACGACCTCCTGTAGACCAGGCGAGGTGGTTCACATCTCCTCGGGATTGATCTCACGACCTCCTGTAGACCAGGCGAGGTGGTTCACATCTCCGAGTCCTCTGGTTTTCCCCACAACATTTTAAAACATCACGCATTTCGAGTATTTGGCTGCTATACATTTCCACGTGATAAGCCACTTCGTTCAGCTGTCATTTGTGGCCAGGTCGCTTCAGAAAAAGAGTGGGCCTTACCTGGTAAAATGTTTTTTTTATTAATATGGATGAGATCATCATAATTATTATTATTTGCACTGGCTTTTTAGATAAGAGGGGAGTGTTTGCCAAGATTTGGCTCATCAGGTGTCATGTATTTCATGATCTATGGGTTACACTTTGCTCATGCCTAATGTGTTACGCTGGTCGTGTTAGCGACTTTGCCTAATGATATGTCCACACTCAGGAGAATATAAGTCAAGTGTCGTTGTCAGCCACGGTCAATCCGCTGCTGGATAAAGGTTTTCCGAAGCCGTTACCATCTCTCACGTTTCTGCGATGTAACCTTCCACAGAGCACCTACAAACGAGCTGATTTAAAAAAACTAAACTATAATCTATTTGACACGTAGGCTATTCGTGAACAATATCATCCACATCTACGCCTCTATATAAATGAACGAAACAGGTGGACTTCTCCACAAATCTGGCTGTCGCCTGATGAAGCTAGTTGTAATTACTGGCGGAACGTCGTACTCAAATTGTAAATGCTGTGGCTTGGCTTTCCAACACACCGGTGTGCTGTACTAGTGACGAATTGGCACGTTCTGTTTACGTGACAACCCTTACTAGTTGGCTGTGTCGGGTGGTGGCGGGTTTTAAAGACACATTTATATATTTACGCGATCTAACCAAATAAAAAAAATATTATAATCTAGTTGCATTTTAGCAGGTAAGACCGACTGAGCTACTTAGATATTTTTCAGAAGCGACCTGGCTATCACAAATGATAGCTCAACGAAGTGGCTCGCCATGTTAAAATGTATCACAGCCAAATACTCTAAACGCGTTATGTTGATTCTAAAATCTGTAGGGAAAAACCGGAGGACCCGGAGAAAAATCCACGCGGCCACGGGAAGAGAGACATGCAAACTACTAATATACAGCAGGCATCATGGCTGGGATCAAACCACCAACCTCCTGCATACCAGGCGAGGTAGTTAACATCTCGCCACGGGGACGCGCATCGTTCCCCCTCCTCCGCGAATGACCACTCAGACGAGCGACATTCCTCGACTTCCACTCCATCACTTCTTGACCATCTACTACCAGGCGTGATTCGCGCCCTGCCCAAATCGACTCGTGTTTCTTCACAGTTATAATCGCGTCTTTAGCCTGCAGGGTATGTTCCCTAATTCACGTGCTCCTCCGTATGGTCGCTCAATGTAAATCCAAGACAGCATTCCTCCATGCTCAGATCGACCTCGCGGGGAAAGTTCCCTCGCGTCTTGCCCCCAACATATTTGCATGATCACTAAGTGGGCCCCTCAATCAGTTGTTGATGTTGGATGTGCAAATAAATGTACAGCCCAGTTGTGTCCATCCACTGTCGATTGAAAATGAAGGCCGTCCCGCGTTCTTGTGGTGCCCATGAGGGTTTCGTTGACCATACTTCACCGCGCTGGTCGCATGCGGATTGAAGGAGTCACGTGAGGCCCTCCGCTGCCCGCAGCGCCGATCGCGCCCGCGCTCTGCGCAGGGATCAGCCATCCAAGCAGGGGATGTGTCTGGTCAGGACTTGGGATGGGTGACCACCGCGCCAGCGCTTGCCAGGTGTTGTAGGCGTGAGGCTGGTGGCCAGAAGGCGCTGGAGAGTCACCAGCCTCGTGTATCACGTGGTGGGGTTTTGTCCGCACGGCTCCTCTGGCTTGCTGACGAATGAAAACGTAGCGAATGCCGATTGGTTTAACTGATTGGTGAATGAATGAATGCGTAATCAGCGGAGAATGAGAGAGTGGGTGTCAATCTGAGTGAATGATGCGACGCTGAAGTGAACTGAAACATTACGCGTGGGCGCTGAAGGTCTTGTGTAGGGTGCACGTGTGCATAAGTTTGGATGAATGAAAAGTGGAAGAAGCCCTTGCATTGATTGAACAAAATTGAGAAACAGCGGTTTGTTTAATGAGTCATAGCATGTTAAAGTTAACAAGTTAAAACCCGAACGAGTGAATGATAGAGAGTGCACGGGTGAATGAGTCGAGCGAATGAAGTTTGGCACTTGTTCAGTCACCATGAGCCATGGGTGATTAAACTATTTTACTTTAATTTTACCAGGTCATGCCCACTGAGCTACACAGCTGTTTATCAGAAGAGACCTGGTCACAAATGATAGCTCAACAAATTGGCTTTTAACGTGGAAATGTATAGTGGCGAAATACTCTAATCGTGATGTTGATTCTAAATGTACAGGAGAAAACCGGAGGACCTGGAGAAAAATCCACGCGACCGCGGGGAGAGAGACACGTAAACTCCAAATATACAGCAGCAGCAGCAGGCGTCAGGGTCGGGATCGAACGCACGACCTCCTGTATACCAGGCGAGGTGGTTAACATCTCCTATTATGTTGGTGGCTATGCACGCGGCTGTCTGCAATCCAGCACAGTGGAGGCAGCAGGGAGGGTTGGTGGATCACCGCACTGATGTTGTCAAACTCCCTTCCCGTGGGCGTCGAAGAGGGGCCATACACCTTGATTCGCCGCAAAGCGGTACAGCAAGTGGACTAATCGCCATCCGTTCCATCTGCATGGGGATAGAGCGTTGCCCCCTCGTGAAAGGCGTGTAGGTTTTCTCCGGGTTACCTCCCATATTTGTATAATTACGATAATAGTAATAAACACGACTCGTCGTTAATTGTATGCTAAAAACACATCGTCAAAATAAACACCCAAAGTAGCGGCAGCAGGAACCTCCTGCAAACTCAGCCACGTGAATAAATAAGTAACATCTCCGTGCAGTGTAAACAAATTAGTAAAAGCAACGATGAAGTGGCTCCGCTGCCTGATTTTTACATGAAATCGTTCCTTCACCCAACGACTGGACATGTGTGAAAAAAGAGTTTTATTAGCTCATAAAAAAATACGATTCTGAAGGTGCTGCTGATTTTGCGGGAGCACTGATCGAGCGCCGAGAGAGCCAATCAATGCACTGATCGGGCTCTGTAAGAGAGAGTGAAAGAGCCAATCAATGCACTGATCGCGCGCTGTGAGAGAGTGAGAGAGCCAATCAATGCACTGATCGGGCTCTGTAAGAGAGAGTGAGAGAGCCAATCAATGCGCTGATCGCGCGTTGTGAGAGGGTGAGAGAGCCAATCAATGCACTGATCGGGCTCTGTAAGAGAGAGTGAGAGAGCCAATCAATGCACTGATCGGGCTCTGTAAGAGAGAGTGAGAGAGCCAATCAATGCACTGATCGCGCTGTGAGGGAGTGAGAGAGCCAATCAATGCACTGATCGGGCTCTGTAAGAGAGAGTGAGAGAGCCAATCAATGCACTGATCGGGCTCTGTAAGAAAGAGTGAGAGAGCCAATCAATGCACTGATCGGGCGCTGTGATAGAGAGTGAGAGAGCCAATCAATGCACTGATCGAGCGCTGTGAGAGAGAGTGAGAGAGCCAATCAATGCACTGATCGTGCGCTGTGCGAGAGTGAAAGAGCCAATCAATGCACTGATCGGGCTCTGTAAGAGAGAGTGAGAGAGCCAATCAATGCACTGATCGTGCACTGTGAGGGAGTGAGAGAGCCAATCAATGCACTGATCGCGCGCTGTGAGAGAGAGTGAGAGAGCCAATCAATGCACTGATCGGGCGCTGTGAGAGAGAGTGAGAGAGCCAATCAATGCACTGATCGTGCACTGTAAGAGAGAGTGAGAGAGCCAATCAATGCACTGATCGCGCGCTGTGAGAGAGCGTGAGAGAGCCAATCAATGCACTGATCGGGCTCTGTAAGAGAGAGTGAGAGAGCCAATCAATGCACTGATCGGGCTCTGTAAGAGAGGGTGAGAGAGCCAATCAATGCACTGATCGGGCTCTGTAAGAGAGAGTGAGAGAGCCAATCAATGCACTGATCGGGCTCTGTAAGAGAGGGTGAGAGAGCCAATCAATGCACTGATCGGGCTCTGTAAGAAAGAGTGAGAGAGCCAATCAATGCACTGATCGGGCGCTGTGATAGAGAGTGAGAGAGCCAATCAATGCACTGATCGAGCGCTGTGAGAGAGAGTGAGAGAGCCAATCAATGCACTGATCGTGCGCTGTGCGAGAGTGAAAGAGCCAATCAATTCACTGATCGGGCTCTGTGAGGGAGTGAGAGAGCCAATCAATGCACTGATCGCACGCTGTGAGAGAGTGAGAGAGCCAATCAATGCACTGATCGCGCGTTGCGAGAGGGTGAGAGAGCCAATCAATGTACTGATCGGGCTCTGTAAGAGAGAGTGAGAGAGCCAATCAATGCACTGATCGGGCTCTGTAAGAGAGAGTGAGAGAGCCAATCAATGCACTGATCGGGCTCTGTAAGAGAGAGTGAGAGAGCCAATCAATGCACTGATCGGGCTCTGTAAGAGAGAGTGAGAGAGCCAATCAATGCACTGATCGTGCGCTGTGAGAGGGTGAGAGAGCCAATCAATGCACTCATCGGGCTCTGTAAGAGAGAGTGAGAGAGCCAATCAATGCACTGATCGTGCGCTGTGAGAGGGTGCGAGAGCCAATCAATGCACTGATCGGGCTCTGTAAGAGAGAGTGAGAGAGCCAATCAATGCACTGATCGGGCTCTGTAAGAGAGAGTGAGAGAGCCAATCAATGCACTGATCGGGCTCTGTAAGAGAGAGTGAAAGAGCCAATCAATGCACTGATCGTGCGCTGTGAGAGAGAGTGAAAGAGTCAATCAATGCACTGATCGCGCGCTGTGAGGGAGTGAGAGAGCCAATCAATGCACTGATCGGGCTCTGTAAGAGAGAGTGAAAGAGCCAATCAATGCACTGATCGGGCTCTGTAAGAGAGTGAAAGAGCCAATCAATTCACTGATCGGGCTCTGTAAGAAAGAGTGAGAGAGCCAATCAATGCACTGATCGTGCGCTGTGCGAGAGTGAAAGAGCCAATCAATGCACTGATCGGGCTCTGTAAGAGAGAGTGAAAGAGCCAATCAATGCACTGATCGGGCTCTGTAAGAAAGAGTGAGAGAGCCAATCAATGCACTGATCGGGCTCTGTAAGAGAGAGTGAAAGAGCCAATCAATGCACTGATCGGGCTCTGTAAGAAAGAGTGAGAGAGCCAATCAATGCACTGATCGGGCTCTGTAAGAGAGAGTGAGAGAGCCAATCAATGCACTGATCGGGCTCTGTAAGAGAGAGTGAGAGAGCCAATCAATGCACTGATCGGGCTCTGTAAGAGAGAGTGAGAGAGCCAATCAATGCACTGATCGGGCTCTGTAAGAGAGAGTGAAAGAGCCAATCAATGCACTGATCGGGCTCTGTAAGAAAGAGTGAGAGAGCCAATCAATGCACTGATCGGGCTCTGTAAGAGAGAGTGAGAGAGCCAATCAATGCACTGATCGGGCTCTGTAAGAGAGAGTGAGAGAGCCAATCAATGCACTGATCGGGCTCTGTAAGAGAGAGTGAGAGAGCCAATCAATGCACTGATCGCGCCGAGGTCGGCTTCACCTTCACGCCGCTCATCGGTGAGCCAAGCGAGGTCGGACGCGCCGCTTTTTAGTTCACCCAGCGCGGATAGGCGCCACTTCGCCTCCCATTGGTCGTGCCGCATCCCCGCGTGATCGGATTCCGCCAATCAGAGGTTTGACTCGGGACGCTCTTCGCTTATATGGAGTGGGAAATATAAGAGGAACCGGCGAGGCCTACAACCGCTCCGCGTCGCTTCTCTCCGCTGGGCCTCGCCCCCCGTGAGTTTCCCAGGCGTCAGATTCCTCCCTCGGGGTGGACTCGAATCTCCCCTCGAGCGTAACGAGAACTGCGCGGCGGTACGGGGCTGCCGGTCAGGATCCTTGTGCGACGCCTGTCTCGCCTGGCCGCGTTGCCCGCTCCCCCTGCACCCTCTTGGTTAGTGTTTCAGGCGAGACCGAGGTTATCCGGTCAGTTACAGGCCTCAGCTCAGGTGCGAATGAACCGCGCGGGCTTTTTGACAAACATTAAAATAATAACATAATCTTAACTGTGTAAGCTGTTATAGGCTAACATAGCTATTAGTAGTCATAGCGACGAAATACATACTGGATGTGGTGTGCCGGCAGTGGAAATATCTGGACAGATCCGGGTGAAATTAATCTCCGGGTGACATCTGTGGGTCTCTAAGAGCCCATGAACATCTGAGACTTTATGGCCCTCTAAGCGAGCCCGTGACTCTCTGTAAGTCTCTGTAAGTCTCTTGATCTCCATGTAAGTATATGATAATCTCTTGCCGTTCTCTGTACATCCGAGGCATCATTTCTCACTGAACGTTTTAACACAGGCGATCTTCGCCTCGATCCTGGCCTCGATGCTGGCCGTCAGGAGGGAGCGGGGAAACATTTCGGTACGTGAGCAGTGTGTAGGGGAGCTTCGTGTGGGATGAACAACCGCGAAAACCCCACCTCGTGTACGAGGGGGAGAGCTTCGACAGCTCCGCACGGACGGGTTTCACGAGCACACTCGCTGTGCTGTCATCTGCTGGCCACGCTCAAGTACCGAGCACCAAGACAAACGCCTCACACTGTAGGGGCAAGCGCTCTTAGCGAGTAGCCAGCACCTGTGAAGGCCGGCACGGCCACACGAGGAGGTTGGATGTGCCAGCACCACGTCCGGCCGCCTTTGTCTCCCCAGTGGCGATGTTTACGCACCGCACCGGGTACTCGTTTGAGGCCGAGTCGACCTAGGGGAGGCCCCGCACCGGTTCAGAGAATCGTCGCCGGCGTTGTCCGTGAGCTGGGAGTCGAAGTCGGGGCGCCGGGTTCGTAGCGCTAACCGCTGCGCCACCGCTCCCTCACGGTGGCTTGCCGAACATTCGGCACGAATTGTGCGGAGGTTGAATACTGGTCGACTCCGTAAGTGACGAGGGAAAAAATAACATCGCAACGGACATCGGCGCAGACTGCACGGCAATGCGTTTCAAAACAACGCACAGAGACGTGTCAAAAACCATCACCGGTGGTGGTTCCCCGTGTTGGAGGTCACCATTCAGTTTGAGCAAATATGACTCGCAGCGAGCAGTGAGCATTGGCGACCACTCTACCGATGAATCCTGATTGTTATGAAACCGTTACACCGTTATCTCTGTGTCTCACTGCTGATGTCAGTCGGCCACGCTTGCTAAAATGTATTTGATGGTAACCTAATGCAGTTCTTCGGGAACTGTTGATGGTTTTTGTGTAATGCACGTGTGCCGAGTGCTTCTCGCCCACGTGTTGGTTTGTCATGAAGAGCTGCAGATAAAATTGCGATGTACCCTGTGTCGCTAGAAGCAGCTGCACGTCTGTTGGCCTTGTTATGACCGGCATGGTGTTGCCGCCTGCTCTATGTGTGGCACAAATCTTCACCTTCGTGTTGCCTCATTGCAGGTGCCTTTGAACTATGATTTCCCACGAAAGTTCCAAACATACCTTCCCGTAACGTTTTAGTGGTTATTAGTCGCTTATGCTGGTAAAAAAAAAAACGACAAAATGCGTCGATGGTTTGCGCAAAAACTTGGCGGGGAAAAAAACGCTTCAAAGATGAGCCTCGCCGATGTGATGTCACAAGGCACACAACGTGCGAAGTGATCTTGCGTTAGTCAGCACGTGTCACGCTCATTACGCTGCTTGAAACGCCTCGTTATTATCGTTAACTACAAAAAGCTGTCGAGGAATAAACGTACGGTGGAACGCATGACAGAATCCGTGCGGTATGCAAGATCTTTTCTAGCTTGTCATTCTTTTTTGTTTGTTTGTTTTCCTTCACAGTCTGCCATGGCCACGCTGAGGTTCGGGCACCACGTGGTGAGCGCCACCGTGGTGTTCTTGCGGAGCGAGCTCTCCTTCGGCATCGTCAATCGCAAGCCCGTGCTTCCGGGCCGTATCCTGCCATCCCTCCCTCCCCCGCGAGCGACCGAGCGAGCGAGCGCACCCACCACTTACGAGCCCGGAGAAGCAGGGATGGTGGTTTTTTGTTGGGCTTTGTTTGTCTTGCGAAAATAGGGAAATGAGAAGCGAGTTAGTGGGATGTTTATTTATGGCGGCACTATCCGCAACCGCCTCCTACAAATCCCTCATTTGCAAACTCCAGATGAACCAAAATTCCACTTCCAGGGTTCCCCCTCCTGTAATCAAGACCACGTAACCCTAACCCGATCCCTCCACAGGCTCCCAATGCAATCCTAGATCAATATAAATATCGTACTCTCCTACATCTCCCCGCTCATCTCCCTGCAATCCACTTTTCTCCCACAACTGACAACCTTCTGTCGAAAGCCCCAGTCAACCTTCACTCTGGATCTCCCTTTCCCAAACCATTGGTGGTGTTGACCCACTCCCTTGGTTCAACTCCAGGCTTAAGACCTTAGTTTTTCCTCTGCCTATGACTGATGGCCTCTTCATTTCAAATAAATGCTTGCACTGCTTCCTTGCAGCATGTAGAGATGTGGACGCACTTAGACGCTCTGTAAATCCAACTTGTATTCAGAGCCACGTGAAAGCCCGCTGAGAGGCAATTCCATCAACATGTTGCATTCGTTACAGCAAAATAGTATGGCAACGTAATCATTTTAAGAATCCTAAAATTAGGATTGTGTTGATATATTTGAGGTGTACTTATACACAAGTAACGCTTTGACAATATTACAATCTGTGTACTTCCTCCTACTGTAATGTACGTGACATGCTTGTGGAATTACCCTGTCAAGATCAATCGCCTCATTTAAAAAAGACACCTGGTTAAAACAAGCAGCACATAGGTGGCCGGGTGACAGGTCTCGGAGACTGAGCCAGCACCGGCGAAATCCTGAGTTCGAATCTCGAGTTTCGGATCCCAACCGTAGTTTAAATTGGGTTCTCAAGTGCACCAAATTGATCATCTCGGCTCAGTCGACAACATTTGGATTTTCCCTTGATTTGGAAAAAAATCCATCTTGGAAAATAAAAATATCAGTAAACTTGACATGTGATGAACAATCTCCACAGGGCACCATCAAACTTATTGGCAGGTCGACAATTTATAAACGCGCATGATGTGTCTTTTTTTTACATTCCGTGGTATGTCAACCATTCAGGACTGCAATTTAGAAATCGTTTCCCTCCTGTATCGTTAAGGGAGAAATGCTTATAAAATACCGTGGTGTTGCACGTACTCTGACTGTCTTTTTCATCCAAGTTGGGATGGGGGCGCTGGTTCATCGACTTATTCCATAAATGAGCCGTATTCTTACAAAGCTCTAGATAATCACCTTCAAAATCACACCCCATACGTATTAATTGGGAGGTTTCGAAAACACACCCCGGGGTTTTCTCTATTGTGGAGCTGCTCGTATATTGAACACGAACCGGGATCCGGATGGCTTCCAAACGCAGCACGAGATGTGACGTTGGGCGCCCTTGTTTGTGTGAGACGAGAACGAACGCCGGCGGTGACTTTTGGTGCCCGCTTTTGTAGAGCGCGCCGAAGCCATCGGCGTCTCTCTCATGGCCCCCTCGCGATGCAACAGACTGCCGGGTACCTGCGCGGGAGCTCGTTTCGTCGGCCCGGCTTTGCGGTGGATGTTCCTCTTGGTGCGCGTCCCCTCCCTTGGCCTGCCACTCCGGCATCGGTCTCGACCATCATCCGTCATAGCCATGTGTCCCACCTCAAGCCCACTTTTCTTCGTTAGTTATTTCGCTTAATTTTGTGCGTGCTCTTGAGTGTTTTTATCGGTGCCCCTAGCTTATGATTATGTGATCTAACCAAACAAAATAAACGAACTCCATTATGGATAATATTGGTGGCAAAAGTCTACTGTGTTAAACTGCCCTCTAGCTTTTTCAATCATCATGAATTCCCCGTGAATTCCATGGCAGGATCGTGAGAGATGGCGGGCGGCTTGGGGAAGGCCTACACTCCAACAGTGGATCGGTCAGGGCTGTCTATTCTATGCCTGCGTGTAGAAATATGTTGAGGAGCTGCCAAATGCCAATGTGGAAGTCTGCTGGCCATGACGAGACGTTCCTCGGGAAAGAGAGTTCGTGTCGTTTTGCTGCTCCTCCGAAGAAGCGCAAATCACAGTGGTTTAATGTATGGTGCACAGTTTGGGTTGCATGGCCACACCAACACTGTGGCTCGACTTTCATTTTTCATTTAATAATTATCTGTCGTCATCGGTGATGACGATCGAGACAATGACACGACCTGCCGTGACACACCGTTCAGAAGCCTGCACGCTGTTGACAAAGAAAATGGAACAAAAGCTGAGAAGGGCGCAAAAAAAAAGCACGGCAGTCATGCATGCTTGGAATTGCGCTGAGAGAAAGAAGAACTCGTGGATTAGCGATTTGGAGTACGACAGGGCATGGAAATCAATCTCTAGAACATTGTGCGCCCGCTCTACTTGCCGTGGACTATAAGTATTTGCAATTCCAACGGGATGTGCTCTTTCCTTCTATATTAAGTTGGGAACGTGTCGTACCTTACGCCACACACCAAAAAACTAAGACAGATGCCCCGTGTAGCCTTAACAGGTTGTTAGGGGAAAGTGCTGTTAGCGAGCACCTATGAAGGCCGGAACGGCACACAAGGGGGTGGGTGGCCAGCACCGTGCCCGGCCGCCTTTGTCACCCCAGTGGCGATTTTTACACACTGCTCCAAGTACTAATTTGAGGCAGAGTCGACCTAGGGGAGGCCCAGGACCGGTTCAGATAATCCTCACCGGTGTTAGCTGTGAGCAAGGATTGAACTCGGGCCCGCCGGAATCGTAGCGCAGCGCGCTAACCGCTCCACCACCGCTCTCGACACACCACACATACATACGCACGTACCCGCCATCTCATTTTGATACAAGTGAAGTATCCCACCCGTGCGTGCACTCATTAATCCTATGAATCCTTCAAGCAGGTGACAGCCTCACTGAGACAACACATTGCATATGCCCGTAGCGTATATACAATTAGGAAAATTGCCGTTGCTTTGTCAGCTATGATGTAATGTATGAATGCACGCGCATATACGTTGGAAGGTAATCTATTACCGGTAATGCATTACCGCGGTGAAGTTTCTGAATAAGAGTTATTAGTTTATGATTACATTGTGCCCGTAACAGCCTTGAATCTCACTATGCGCGTGCATACAATATGCTGTTTAAAGATTAGACGATATTCGCTGATTAAGAAATTGGGATATATTGTGCAAGTAGCATATTGAGCATGGGATATATTGTGCAAGTAGCATATTGAGCATGCTGCTTTATTTAAGAGGCGAGTGACCTGAATAAAATTGTATGAGCAAAACAGGTTCGAGATCAACTCTTGTAAAAAGTTAAACTTCATACAAGCAATCGGGTTCTCGAGTTAAGTTGCGCTCCAGAAATCAGTCGCATTCTAGAGTTAAACCACATACCAGCAATCATGTTCTGGAAATTGATATCACCCCGGCAACCAGGTTCCAGAGTTAAACATCGCACCAGCAATCGGGCTCTCGAAGTTCAAATGAAAAACAGTTGAACAATGTAACAAAATGTAACGGATAAACATTCTCTGTGTGTAGCAAATTAGATATTCGGAATTAGAGATGGCAAGCAGAAATCTTCAACAGCAAACAGATTTATTTTTTATCGGACAAAGAATTACACATTAAGAATAACAAAACATAACGCTGAGAACCATTTGTATATTATCGAAGCGTGCGTGTGCGTGAGGACACCGCGAGGAGATGTATGTTCGCTTGGAGTAAAAGCTGGCAGGAGGCTGCGTTTACGACCTCCAATGTGAGAAACCCCATTTTGCCGAACCGCTCCTAGGGTGCCGTTGTTGTGCTGCCCGGCGAGCACAGAGTGCCACCTCTTAAACCCGTGATTGCGCCGAGCGGTGATCATTACGGCAAATACACGAGATCTGGGTCTTCCAGAAGGGGAACGAGCCAGACTCGCCGGAAGAGCGCCGCACGCCACATCGCAAACAAAGCTCGCTTTTGTGGAACTTATTTTTCCCGGTGAATCTTCGAAAATAACTACTCTGGAAGGAGGTCCATTATTTTGTCCGTAATAACCACCGGCGGACATACAAGGTGGAAAGATAAACCATCCGGGACTTTTATTAGAAAAGGGAAATGCTTTGTTGCAATGTTTTTTCTTGGGAATATCTGTCCTTGGGGGTGGGTGTGAGGTGTGGGGGGTGGAATTTGTGCAAAACGCGGAGGTGGGAGGTCCGTTTCGACTGAGCGACCTCGGCCGCTCGCGGTGAGAGGCCTCGGTGGGAGCCCCCTTTCCCCCAGTTGTTTTGCATCCAGGCCAATCACGCCGATGGTGCGCATGCCGCAAATGCGTTTTCTTGAGGAATCTTCTGAAAATTGGGCCATTTGCACAGAAAGCATCCCCCCCCCCCCCCATGCACGTTCCGCACAAGCTTGCTTTATGGGTTTTTTTATTTAAACGTTAAAGATTTGGCGGCTGTGGCGGCGTCACGGATCACAGGCTGGACTTGCGATCCAACGGCCGCCGATTCAACTCGCTATATCTCGGCGCGGCGGTGGTGGTTAGAACAATGGGGCCGGTTTCTTTTACCCCCCCCCCTGCCAACACCCTGCTCATCTCCACAGCGTCTGTCCACACAGCAGCTGCACGAATGGGTCACAACGGGGGTAGTCGATCGGCAGGCCATGTGTGGGCGAGGAAAAGTGTGGATATTCCGGTCTTCTTGTTGTCCTACGACTGGTGTAGATGCAGAGCGACGACTACAATTTTACATTCAGGTGGTCAAGCCAGCAGACAACCGCGTCAGGAACAGTGGAGTGGTTTCACCGTAATGTCTCCTTCGTATTTGTGGATCGGGGCATTGCGTCCGTTATACGTTGTACCACTGTCTGTTCTGGATGACCGCGGTCGCACGCTACGACTGAAGAGTTTTACATTTGTGCAGTGGATGCGATTTAGGGTGGACCATACGGCGATGCATGCTATGGAGCACTCTCAGGCTGGCTCCGGTAGGAACCCTTCTGCCAACAGTGGCGCATGAGCAAGATTTTGGCAGGGCTGCACCTCTCACCGTTTTGCACGATAACAAAGTACGTTTTTGAACACGGCCCATTATTTGGCGGTGCGTTCATTACGGACGGATTAATCCTGGGCATCTCGAGTACGCCGATCGCTTTCTCAAGTCATCTTTGGGACATCTCCTTTATGAATCACGCCTGTTCCTGCCGCCGCGGCCGCGTAATGATTTTTTGCCGCCGTGACCTGAAATGTCCCGCGCGTGTAAAACGTCATTTATCATAAACACACGTTTTGTGTGTGTGTGTGTGTGCATGCGCGCATTATGTATTTTTTATGTAATGCCCCTTGAAGGTGTCGTGTTTGTGTGACCGGTAATGGCATGCAGCCCGGCGTCACTGCCTCGCCCAGTCCCGCACCATTATTAGATCCCACACCTTGCCTTGTGCATCCTCGCGAAATAATTTAAATGAACACGGCCGAACGTTTTGATTTATTCACGTGCCCCCTGGCCCTATTCCCAGGGAAATGCAGATCGGCCGAACGAAGGAGGGGGGACCACCACCCCCACCACCCCCCTCCCCTCCCCTCCGAGGTCATCGCAGAGTGAGGGTCATGACCCACGTTGCTGTGAGATGCTGACTCCCCGACGTCCGAGTGCGGTTTTTTGTGCCGCCTCTTCAGCATTTTTCCCCGCGAGCTCTCCCAAGAGCACGGCTCAAACTCAACTAGACTATTTTCTATTTTGCTAGGTAAGGCCGACTAAGCTATGTAGCTCTTTTTCAGAATTGACCTGGCCACATATGATAGTATTCATATTCTTAGCTCTTTCGGTAAAGTCGGTATCGAACCCACGACCTCCTGCATACCAGGCGAGCGAGTTAACATCTCGCCACCGTGGCGACCCGCTCCTGCGAGTGTCTTTAGGAATCAGGCCAAGAGCAGGAATGCTCAGCCTGGAAGAGGGCGTGAGGATTATAAGTGGCCGTACGCTGGACGCTGCGATCTGCCATGTCAATCGCCTCATATATGTACCTTTTTTCAAACAAAATGTTTAAGGTTAACAATCGTAATTCAGAGTTCAATGGATTAGTAGTGGCATAAAGTGCGGGTACTCTCACCTCCACCAAAGACGCCTGGTCAGCTCGAGAGAGGACCCCTCTATGGCTCCCTCTCTGTTGGAGGCCCTTCTGCCGGCGATGGCGTTAGCGCGGAAAATCGACATCGGGGCAACACCTCGTGCGCTCGGTCGCCGCGTTGTCCCATCGCGCCGTGCGTCTCCTTGTTTCCTTGACGACGACGGGCGGCGCCAGACGTGCTCGTGTGCCCCTTGCGCCCCGCGGAGCGCCTGTGTGACCTCCGACCCGACGAGGTGAGCGACCTCTTTGTAACGGCGCAGCGGGTGGCGGGGGCCATCGGCAAGCACTACGGAGCAACGTCGCTCACCCTTGCCGTGCAGGTAACCCTCGCTCGCCCGATGCGCGACCACCGTGGTGTGACGTTATCTCCCTCGCCAGGGGGTCGTGGGTTCGATCCCGACCCTAACGCCTGCTGCTGCTGCTGCTGTATATTTATGGAGTTTGCGTCTCGCTCTCTTTCCCTGTAGTCGTGTGGATTTTTCCTGTGGGTCCTCCGGGTTTTCCCCCCACATTTAGAAACATGCATTGAGATTATTTAGATTGTTCTACTGCTATAAATGTTGACATGATAAGCAACTTTGAGCTTTAATTTGTGGCCAGGTTGCATCTGAAAAATAAGTTACTACCTCAATGGGCTTTGCGTGGTAGCATGGGGATGGTTTATTTTCATGTTTTTGGGCGATTCTTTTTTCCTTTCCTGTACTTTGCATTCCTATCGTGTTTTTTGTACTGTTTGTTGTCGTAACGTTCTTACCCCATGCCCTGATTAGACATCTGTGATAAAGAGCTTTATAGCTCATCGGATTCCTCCTGCAGTATAAATAAATATTCTCATTCTGACCCCGACGGGGTCATCGTCCTCCGGCGCCTTCTGCCGAGTGATTGCGACTAAAAGCTCCATGTGTCCCGTCAGGCATCACCGTCAACGGGTCTACGACACCGTCGCCTCAGCCACTATCTCACTCATATTCTTAGCTCTTTCGGTAAAGTCGCGTTGAAGGGAAACAATAAAATAATAGCTATCTCACTCGTCATCGCAATCGCCACCATCTTCACCCGATGTTATATTGAAAAAAAATGTACGAAACTTAATCCACACAATCTTCGCATTCACTTTTGTTTCCCGGGAATGTCGATGCTGAACTAACAACAAAAACGATAGTAATGTTGAGTTCAAAATAGAGCGTCGACATTTGGGCAAATGGCATAGTGCAAATCGCCGCGGAGAGCCACGGGAGCGGCCAGGCGGTGAGCTGGCGCCCACAGCAGCCCAAGTTAGGTTGGTGAGCGCTTCTATGCGGAGGAATACTGATGGGACAATGCTGCATCCCATCCCACACGGGTGCAGTCTACAGCTTTAGCCGTGCAGTGCATTCTCCTCTAACGCGGTAGTTGTTGCTTTCCCGTAGAACAATCGCGTTGTGGAAAAATCCCGTTCTAATATATAATATATGGGGTAAAGCAGAGTCTGCGATAACGCGTGAGATGCGTACGCAGGCCGATCAAAAACTGAGGGCGCGTGGGCAGCATCCAGAAGCATCCAGCAGCATCCCGCCTTGTGTGATGCTACGCCGAGGCAGCTGTACGACCGCTTATTCCTCGAGCAAAGTAATTCCGTTCACTTGATCGCCTTATATCCATTCACATCCGCGTTATCAAAAAAACTGTTCCTGAATACATTAACCGTGTTATGTATCCAATTCGCGTGAAGAAAACCGCGCGCGTTATAGTAGAACGGGCTGTACTGCCTTATCCTGCTGTGCCAGGGTACGGAATCTCCTCGACGCCCGTGGGAAGGGAGTTTCACAACAACATCAACCCTCGCTGCTGCCTCCACAGCTCTGGCTCACAGGCAGCCCACGTGCATAGCCAACACCGCCCAGCTACAGCTTCTTGGTTATTTCCACGTGACTTTGCCGAATGAACCGAGAAGATAATTTTTGGTTCATAACTAAACACACCTCGTAACATACGTTTTATGTAGGTGGCACATTGTACATCTTTGTTTGCTAATTGTGCATTGCAACTATAAAGGATATTGTCGATGATAACAATGGTGATGATCACATATGTTCGTGGTTCAAACACCGCAGGGCCACGCTGGTTAATACCGCAGGTTTGTCCACCGTATATCTTTACGCTGGACGTTACAGGATCCCGTGACGTCGTTCGAAAAGAGGAGGCCATTGTGCGCCCGGCGTCATGGTCCAACTTTGCTCCGTTTTTTTTTTATTGAAATCTCCTGCAGATTATTCAATTGGGATGATGGCACACAGCAACGTTGCCCCCCACCCCCCACCCCCCCTGACTGTAACACTGCCGCCAACTGCATCTATGGAACACGCAGGCGTCTTCATTTATGATAGCCGTGCGCCTGTAAGAATGCTCGCACGAATCCGGCACATGTACTAAAGCGTAAACAACAACAACAACAACCGTCATCATTCCCTTGCCTCCGTTGATGGCCGTGTTGATGATGCGCGCTGATAGCACAGTGTGCTGCTTGTGTGTGTGTGCCACTTGTGTCTGTGCCACTTGTGTGTGTGTGTCACTTGTGTGTGTGCCACGTGTGTGTGTGCCACTTGTGTGTGTGCCACTTGTGTCTGTGCCGCTTGTGTGTGTGTCACTTGTGTGTGTGCCACTTGTGTGTGTGTGTCGCTTGTGTGCGTGCCGCTTGTGTGCGTGCTGCTTGTGTGTGTGTCACTTGTGTCCACGCCGCTTGTGTCTGTAACGCTTGTGTCTGTAACGCTTGTGTCTGTAACGCTTGTGTCTGTGACGCTTGTGTCTGTGACGGTTGTGTCTGTGACGGTGGTGTCTGTGACGCTTGTGTCTGTGACGCTTGTGTCTGTAACGGCGGTGTCTGTAACGGCGGTGTCTGTAACGCTTGTGTCTGTAACGCTTGTGTCTGTAACGGTTTTGTCTGTAACGGTTGTGTCTGTAACGGTGGTGTCTGTAACGGTGGTGTCTGTAACGCTTGTGTCTGTAACGGTTGTGTCTGTAACGCTTGTGTCTGTAACGCTTGTGTCTGTAACGGTTGTGTCTGTAACGGTTGTGACTGTAACGCTTGTGTCTGTAACGGTTGTGTCTGTAACGGTGGTGTCTGTAACGCTTGTGTCTGTAACGGTTGTGTCTGTAACGGCGGTGTCTGTAACGGTTGTGTCTGTAACGGTTGTGTCTGTAACGGTTGTGTCTGTAACGGTTGTGACTGTAACGCTTGTGTCTGTAACGGTTGTGTCTGTAACGGTGGTGTCTGTAACGGTTGTGTCTGTAACGGTGGTGTCTGTAACGGTGGTGTCTGTAACGGTTGTGTCTGTAACGCTTGTGTCTGCAACGGTTGTGTCTGTAACGCTTGTGTCTGCAATGGTTGTGTCTGTAACGGTGGTGTCTGTAACACTTGTGTCTGTAACGGTTGTGTCTGTAACGGTGGTGTCTGTAACGCTTGTGTCTGTAACGCTTGTGTCTGTAACGCTTGTGTCTGTAAAGCTTGTGTCTGTAACGGTTGTGTCTGTAACGGTTGTGTCTGTAACGCTTGTGTCTGCAACGGTTGTGTCTGTAACACTTGTGTCTGTAAAGGTTGTGTCTGTAACGGTTGTGTCTGTAACGGCGGTGTCTGTAACGCTTGTGTCTGTAACGCTTGTGTCTGTAACGGTTGTGTCTGTAACGGTGGTGTCTGTAACGCTTGTGTCTGTAATGCTTGTGTCTGTAATGCTTGTGTCTGTAACGCTTGTGTCTGTAACGCTTGTGTCTGTGCGTGCATCTGTCTCCCCCCCCCCCCCACTCCAGGATGGCCCGGAGGCTGGGCAGACTGTGAAGGTGAATGGCATTGAGCATCTCCCGCACAAACAGAAACACACACTCCCTAACAATACTAACACGGATACATTATTCATCGCGCCTAAGCTCCGAGCATTTATTATATCGGGAGTCTCTGTAATGTTCCTCTTGACATTTTACACGTGCGGGACATTTCACATCCGATGGAGGCACTTCTGCGACGAGCCGTGTCACGCAGCAGACTCGCCGCGATGTTTAACATCTCCACGGTTGGCTACGTACGGTGCGAAAGACGTTCAACGTACAAACATTCATTGATTTGCGATATTGTGCCGCATTGTCAGCAGGGATCGCTGACAATGCGTAGATTTTCATCGTTTTCGAACTCCCGATGAACTTTCGGGGCGAGGGAAGATCGTTTGAAAGTTCTCTAATTTGCAATTCGCTAAAACGAAATCCCTGACGTGAGTCTCTTAGTCAATGCAAGTCTGTGGTCCGTAGTGCTTGTAACGCACGTGCTGTCAGCTACACGAGCGGTAATTAAAGTAGCTGCGAAAATTATGACGTCTTGCCACCGCCGTGCTATGCGTCACTCCGAACAATATGTTATGATTCACTGATGCAGTGAATTATAGTAGAACTTACTGTTTCTGAGTAAGTGTTTTGTTTTATTAAATGAGCGACAGTAAAAATGACTATACAATTCTCGTGACCACATAATTAGTCATGGCCCATGTACAGAGTATTGTCGTATCGCCCCATCGCAGCAATGCTGCGATCCGCTATCGCTGCATTTCTACACCTCCCTCCCTCTTCCCTCCATCTCTCTCCATCCATCCCCTCCCATCTCTCTCCATCTATTTCTCCTCAAAACAGCCCTCGTCCTCCTCCTAAGGCATCGCCGCTTTCCGTCCCGCCTCAACGTCCCCCCACTTTGCCCGGCGAGATGTCGGAAAGTCCGCCACGTCGGCCGGCGAGCCGGGTCTGTGAGACACCCCCGCCTGACGGCCCTTCGTGTTTGCTTGTCCCGTCAGCACGTCCACGTGCACCTCCTGCCGCGCCACGCCGGGGACTTCTCTCGCAACGACGACGTCTACGTTGAGGCACGGGCGCCGACGCCGCTCGCCACCGCGCTCGGAGGGTTTTTACCCGTGACAAAGCGGTTTTCTTTCGTGGTTAGACCGCATGAATTATAAATGATGTGTGCATTGACCCACCCCCAGCGTACTGCTGTGCTGAAGTAAGTAACTAAATGGCACGTTGTGTTCACGTGACAAGCCTGGCCTATAGGATGTGTCGGGTGTTGGGGGAGGTTAACGACACGGTTGTATTTACGCGATCTCACCCAAAGAAAAAATTAAACTTTTACGGATGATATTGGTCGCGAAAGCCTACAACGACTTCTTCTACGAGTTTTGTGTAACCGGAGTGGAGGACCCTGGGGGGAGCGGGATGGAATCTCGTTTGAATGAGCGACCTGGCCCAACGGAATGACGGGAGCAGCGACATTGGAAATAAGTACGGCAATGAAGCGAATAGAGAAATCGGAGCAAAAATGTACCGCGTGATGAGCGTGTGATGTGCGTGTGATGTGATGGGGACATGGTGAGGGTGTGTCGTGGGATGTGGTGAGGGTGAAATTCAATTCATCTCAATTCATTGAATTTCCTGTACGGCTCGCATCAGTGGCAGGTGGCGTCTGACCCTGCCTTTAAAAAAGAAATGTCGTATGACCATCACCGCTGTGAGAGACAGACAGGTGTCTCTGTGTGGCCACTTCACACTCTCCCACGCCAGGGTGGTTGTACACCGCCACACTGCTCCACCACCCCCCCCACCGTACGACCACCAGCTATTAAGGGCAGCACAACACAGCCGTGGGTAGATGTGATCAGAGCATGAAACACAGAGGTGGCCTGGCCATTAGTGCCAACCTCGCCACCCCTTCGTGCCCCCCGCTGGCCACAATAATTGCTCGCTCACAGCTCTCTCCCCCGCACTACGAAGCCCGGCGACCCGAGTTCAATTTACACTCGCGGACGGTGACGATTATCTGAACCGCTGCTGGGACTCCCCTGGGTCGACTCGGCCTCAAATGAGTACCTGGTGCGATTCGCAGTAAATTTGGAGACAAAGGCGGCCGGGCATAGTGGTGCTGGCCACCCCACCCCCTCTGTGCTACTCTTCATAGGTGCTAACTTGCAGAACAGCACAACAATCTGTTGCAGTCTAAACGGGGTGTCTTTGTGTGTTGTGTACGCAGCTGCAGAACCACGACAGAGTGGAGAGCGAGGAGGAGGCGCCCTTCCGGAGTTTGCCCGACATGGAGCGAGAGGCGGCGGAGCTGCGCACCTACTTCATGTGACACCACGGCGGAGCTACAAACCTGCTTCATGTGACTCCATGGCAGAGCTACAAACCTGCTTCATGTGACTCCATGGGGGAGCTACAAACCTGCTTCACGTGACTCCACGGCGGAGCTACAAACCTGCTTCATGTGACTCCACGGCGGAGCTACAAACCTGCTTCATGTGACTCCACGGCGGAGCTACAAACCTGCTTCATGTGACTCCACGGCGGAGCTACAAACCTGCTTCATGTGACTCCATGGCAGAGCTACAAACCTGCTTCATGTGACTCCACGGCGGAGCTACAAACCTGCTTCATGTGACTCCACGGCGGAGCTACAAACCTGCTTCATGTGACTCCACGGCGGAGCTACAAACCTGCTTCATGTGACTCCATGGCAGAGCTACAAACCTGCTTCATGTGACTCCACGGCGGAGCTACAAACCTGCTTCATGTGACTCCATGGCAGAGCTACAAACCTGCTTCATGTGACTCCATGGGGGAGCTACAAACCTGCTTCACGTGACTCCACGGCGGAGCTACAAACCTGCTTCACGTGACACCACGATGGAGCTACAAACCTGCTTCATGTGACACCACGACGGAGCTACAAACCTGCTTCACGTGACACCACGACGGAGCTGCGCACCTACTTCATGTGACTCCACGGCGGAGCGACAAACCTGCTTCACGTGACTCCACGGCGGAGCTACAAACCTGCTTCACGTGACTCCACGGCGGAGCTACAAACCTGCTTCACGTGACTCCACGGCGGAGCTACAAACCTGCTTCACGTGACTCCACGGCGGAGCTACAAACCTGCTTCATGTGACTCCACGGCGGAGCTACAAACCTACTTCACGTGACTCCACGACGGAGCTACAAACCTGCTTCATGTGACTCCACGGCAGAGCTGCGCACCTGTTTCACGTGACACCACGACGGAGCTACAAACCTGCTTCATGTGACACCACGACGGAGCTACAAACCTGCTTCACGTGACACCACGACGGAGCTGCGCACCTACTTCATGTGACTCCACGGCGGAGCTACAAACCTGCTTCACGTGACTCCACGGCGGAGCGACAAACCTGCTTCACGTGACACCACGACGGAGCTACAAACCTGCTTCACGTGACGCCACGGCGGAGCGACAAACCTGCTTCACGTGACTCCACGACGGAGCTACAAACCTACTTCATGTGACTCCACGGCAGAGCTGCTCACCTGCTTCACGTGACACCACGACGGAGCTGCGCACCTACTTCATGTGACTCCACGGCGGAGCTACAAACCTGCTTCACGTGACGCGATGGCGGAGCTACAAACCTGCTTCACGTGACGCCACGGCGGAGCGACAAACCTGCTTCACGTGACGCGATGGCGGAGCTACAAACCTGCTTCACGTGACTCCATGACGGAGTTACAAACCTGCTTCACGTGACGCCACGGCGCGCCAACACGGCACCCCCCGGCACGAGCACAAGAGCCTTGCAATAGCTGGACACGTTCCGGCGCGATCTAAATGTTGTTGTCATTGCTACTCAGTGCGGCACTCACTAACATGGAGCGCCTGTTTAAGGCTGTGCACACGGACGTGGTGTGGCGAGTAGCGGCACGCCGCTCCTCACACACCCGGCATGCTAGAGCCACACACACACACACCCACACACACACACACACCCACACACACACCCACACACACACACACACACTCACCCACACACACACACACACCCACACACACTCACCCACACACACACACACACACCCACACACACACTCACCCACACACTCACCCACACTCACCCACACCCACACTCACCCACACACACTCACCCACACACACACACCCACACACACACACATTCACCCACACACACTCACCCACACACACTCACCCACACACATTCACCCACACTCACCCACACACACCCACACACCCACACACACACACTCACCCACACACACTCACCCACACACACACACACTCACCCACACACACTCACCCACACACACCCGCACACACACACCCGCACACACACCCACACTCACCCACACACACCCACACACACACACACCTACACACACTCATCCACACACACACCCACACACACACACACCCACAAACACCCACACTCACCCACACACACCCACACACCCACACACACACCCACACACACCCACACACTCACCCACACACACCCACACTCACACACACACACCCGCACACACACCCACACACCCACACACACACCCACACACCCACACACACTCACCTACACACCCCCACACACACACGCCCACACACACACACGCCCACACACACGCGCGCGCGCAAAATGGTCCCGTACAAGACAAACAACGCGTTTTAAATTTTAAAGGTAATCTTTAAAAAAATAAACAACGCAGAGCGATGGAATTGCCCTGTTTGCGAGATCGCTCGTAAGAGCACAGGGGGTGTGGCCTGGCGCGGTGAGTGTGGGAGGCACCACTCGTCGTGGAGGGGGGGGGGGGGGAGAGAGATGCGGGGGGGCTACAGCCCCCTACTTGGCAGAATAGCCAAAGCCGTCTTTATCTCCCCAGCAGTTACCGCCTACGAGACGCAGCGCACGCTCAGCTGATGTCGGGATCCCGCTGCCGTGTCCGGGGAGCAGCGCTCGGTTCCTGCGGCACTGCTGCACCAGAGAAGGGTTCAGGGTGACGCGTCGCTCGGGTAGAGTGGTGGTCCAGCACTCGGCCATTCGCTCGCTAGCTCGCCGGTCGTCAGCCGCATCCTCATCACTCGCTACGAGCCGCGGTCACCGTTCAGTCATCGATTCTGCATCCTACGCCGGGGACGCGGTCTGACAGACACTCGCCGTGTCGTCTCATCCACACTGCCTACGAACCGCCACCACACTACAGATTACAAACAACTCGCTCACTTCCCCATCCGCTCACCCGTCTACTCACCACCCTGCAGCTCACCTCACTCACCACCCCGCAGCTCACCTCACTCACCACCCTGCAGCTCACCCGTCTACTCACCACCCCGCAGCTCACCTCACTCACCACCCTGCAGCTCACCTCACTCACCACCCTGCAGCTCACCTCACTCACCACACTGCAGCTCACCTCACCACCCTGCAGCTCACCTCACTCACCACCCTGCAGCTCACCTCACTCACCACCTCGCAGCTCACCTCACTCACCACCCTGCAGCTCACCTCGCACTGCTGCGCTTGAGAATTCTCCTCTTCCCGTCGTCTCAACATCCCCCAGCTCTCAGTAACAATCGCCTTGCTCGATGCAAGGAATATTAACTCTTGTCGATTGCAACGTTGACGCTGCTGTGACTGGTCGCTTGGACATTCGGGGATTTTGGCTGTTATCAATTTCCACGTGAAAATCCGCCACCTCGTTGAGCTGTCAATTGCAGTGGGCTATTAGAGGGCCTAATAGCCCACTGGGGCCTTACCTGGTAAAAACAGGTCCCTGCAGGGTGGGCTGGTAGAAGTTCGCAAATGAGATAATGTGACTTCCAAATGTTGGGTGCAATAAGACATATCAAGTATCTGCGCTGTCTATTGCTGATTTTACACCCAACAGCACGATATTTCACTTCGTTAAAGTATTGAAAGGGGACGGACGGACGGACGGATGGACACATTAATCTATTGCAGGCTGGTACACTCAGTTTACAACTTCGTTCCTACCAGTATAAATAAAGAGTTGCACTGGGGGCTCTTCTTCAGTGGGAACGCGAGTCGTGTGTCTGTGCGGAGCGGTGGCGCAGCGGTTAGCGCACTGCTCTAACGAACGCCCGGGGACCCGAGTTCGATTTCCGGCTCGCAGCCAACATCGTTGACGAATATTTGAATCGGGCCTGGACTTCCCCCCAGGTTGATTCAGCCTCAAATGATGAGTACCCGGCGCGGTGTTGTAAACATTTTTGGGGATTTCAGCGGATTACGAATGTATGTTGTCAAGGTTTGACATCCATTCGACTGCTTCGGGAGGAGCCGCATGGATTCGTTTCGGATCGCCGTTGAACGATCCTGTTGGATCAAGTCGTTCACGGGATGTTGCACGGTCATCGCCGTCGGCCAAGATCCATCCACCGCTGGATGAAGGCCTTCCCCGGGCCGCCACCGCCGCCACCTCTCGATACCGTGATGGCAGCAATCCGTCTGTCACCCGCGCGTGAACCGGTTCTCATCTCGGGAGCGGCGGACGTTGGCTCGGACGCGTTCCACCCATTCGTCGGCCGCCACTCCCGTGGTCACTCTGCCCGCCACGCCGCCCACTCCTCTCGGCCGTGCGGGTGATGGCCAGGGACCCGCTGCGTGTGTTCGCGAATCCACTTTCATTTCGATGGCTTCGGTTGAAACGACGATGACGACCACGGCGGCGTGGTCGTGGTCAGCCGACGGGGGTGGGTGGGCACAATGGGGCCGTGTCACCTGAGGTGGCACAACCCGCATTGTTCTTGTGTTTGACGAAGACGTCTCGTGTCCCACCCCTGGGCTATACAGCTCCTCCACAAACTTGGCTTCCTGTTCTACCCCTGGGCTACAGCTGCTCCACACGGCTACACTCAGCCTGCCCGTGTCCCCCCGGCTACAGCTCCTGCACACATTTAAACTATAAACGAAACAAGTTTCAATTTTACCAGGTAATGCTCACCCGAGCGAGATGGCTTTGTTTCAGAAGCGTGCTGGCTTTGACAAATGGTAGCTTAACGAAGTGGCCTTATCATCGTGTGGAAATTTATAGCAGCCTAATGTATCTTGCCCTCTGCTACAGCTCTTTCGACAACAGTTACACCAAGCCTCCTCTATACCCTCAGGCTCGCCTCCAACTCCTCTGGGATGGGGGGGAGGGGCAAAGGGACGGGCTTCCGCCCAAGCCTGTACTGTAGATCAGGACTCCCCAAACTCAGGGCCACGGACCGGTATCGGCCCGTGGCCTGTTAGGAACCGGGCCGCACAGCAGGAGGTGAGGGCGGTGAGTCCACGCGTGGCCCGCCCACATTATTTTATTATTTACCACTTCTGTCCGTGCCTCTTTCCCGCACTGCGCACTCAGTCACAGTGTTGGTAAACCCACAAGCTGACCCCTAGTAGCCACAATGAGTAAGCCCACAAGCTGACCCCTAGTAGCCACAATGAGTAAGCCCACAAGCTCTAACCCCTAGTAGCCACAATGAGTAAGCCCACAAGCTGACCCCTAGTAGCCACAATGAGTAGCCTACAAGCTCTGACCCCTAGTGGCCACAATGAGTAAGCCCACAAGCTCTAACCCCTAGTAGCCACAAGGAGTAAGCCCACACACTCTAACCCCTAGTAGCCACAATGAGTAAGCCCACAAGCTCTAACCCCTAGTAGCCACAAGGAGTAAGCCCACAAGCTCTAACCCCAAGTAGCCACAATGAGTAAGCCCACAAGCTCTAACCCCTAGTAGCCACAATGAGTAAGCCCACAAACTCTAACCCCTAGTAGCCACAATGAGTAAGCCCACAAGCTCTAACCTCTAGTAGCCACAATGAGTAAGCCCACGAGCTCTAACCCCTGGTAGCCACAAGGAGTAAGCCCACAAGCTCTAACCCCTAGTAGCCACAAGGAGTAAGCCCACAAGCTCTAACCCCTAGTAGCCACAATGAGTAAGCCCACAAGCTCTAACCCCTAGTAGCCACAATGAGTAAGCCCACAAGCTCTAACCCCTAGTAGTCACAATGAGTAAGCCCACAAGCTAACCCCTAGTAGCCACAATGAGTAAGCCCACAAGCGCTAACCCCTAGTAGCCACAATGAGTAAGCCCACAAGCTCTAACCCTAGTAGTCACAATGAGTAAGCCCACAAGCGCTAACCCCTAGTAGTCACAATGAGTAAGCCCACAAGCTCTAACCCCTAGTAGCCACAATGAGTAAGCCCACAAGCTCTAACCCCTAGTAGCCACAATGAGTAAACCCACAAGCTCTAACCCCTAGTATCCACAATGAGTAAGCCCACAAGCTCTAACCCCTAGTAGCCACAATGAGTAAGTCCACAAGCTCTAACTCCTAGCAGCCACAATGAGTAAGCCCACAAGCTCTAACCCCTAGTAGCCACAATGAGTAAGCCCACAAGCTAACCCCTAGTAGCCACAATGAGTAAGCCCACAAGCTCTAACCCCTAGTAGTCACAATGAGTAAGCCCACGAGCTCTAACCCCTAGTAGCCACAATGAGTAAGCCCACAAGCTCTAACCCCTAGTAGCCACAATGAGTAAGCCACAAGCTCTAACCCCTAGTAGCCACAATGACTAAGCCCACAAGCTCTAACCCCTAGTAGCCACAATGAGTAAGCCCACAAGCTCTAACCCCTAGTAGCCACAATGAGTAAACCCACAACGACGGACGTGACGTGGGCTGCTTCAAACTAAACCTCAACGTTGTGTGTGTTTGGTTTATTGTCCATCTCAGTCAACCCATGGCCCCTGGCTCTGTCCCCGTTACCTCCTGCCAGCAGGCGTTGGACACGTGGCCTTAGAGTGCACACGGCCTGGAACACGGCCTGGGACAGGCGCAGTGGTGACGTCTCCGCCGCGTGGCGGCGAATTGGCGGTTCTTGTTGTCCTTTGATTAGCGCCGTTGGCGACTGTGGGGTGCGAAAGAAGTTCAACGTCCATTCAAGGTCGCGAGCGCTGTTCTATTCTCACCCCTCCCCCAGTACACGACCTACGTC